GTATCTATCTATCTATCTATCTATCTATCTATCTCTCTCTCTCTCTCTCTCTCTCTATATATATATATATATATATATATATATATATATATATATATATATATATAATGTTTTACATTTGGTTTTTCCTTTAAAATGATTTACATGTCGGTAGGTTTTTATCATTTTGATGTTATCATTCGTTAACTGTCTATATTTCTGAGGTGAGATATTGTGATTATTTACATTGTCCGGGCTGCTGTCCTCATCTTTATTGTCATATTCACAACGTTTCGGCCGTTGTACGCTCCAGTCTTCTTCAGGGGATTAGAATTTCGAAATTCAAGTTGCAAGATTAGCAATGAACGAAAATTAGTTTTAATTTAGTCGCAAAGAGTTGTCTCTGCAGCGGTGAACAAAAACTCGGAGAGTTGAGTTAAAGTGGTGCTGTCTGAGACATCCGGAAGAGGCATGACACGTGGAACTAGAACAATCTACTCCAGTTCGAAATTCCAGTCACATGAAGAAAGCCGGCTAGCGTACAACGGCCGAAACATCGCGAATATGACACTAAAGATGAGGACAACAACCCAAACAATGTAAATATTTTCATTCGTACATACACTACGAAATATAATGATTACATTTTATTTGAAATCTGAATTACAATCTGAGATCTGTATTTAATATTCAACTATGGAAGAAACTGTATTTCAAGATTATTCTTTTGACCAGCAGTTTACCAATAATAATATTAATGTCCTGATTCTACGTCTACATATGATTATAGATCCATGGCTTCTGATCTTAATTAATTGATACTAACACGTACTGGTATGTCTTACTGAATTATAATGTGCTAAAATAACTACCACGTTCAATATCATAAATTTGCATATCAGCTGCATTACCTTAACCATTTGGGAGAGTCCTCTAGGGACTGGGACACTGTATATGTCTATTCATGAACAGTAGTGGGGGGACATCATGGCCGGGTATCGATGCGGTTTGGCTTCTTTTGTTTTTTTTAGTTAGCAGGATGAGGCAGCCAAGGCGACTTATAAGTCAACTCTAGAATCTAATCCAAGACACATCGCTGCTGCTATGACTGCAGACGACCCCGATGCGTTACGAAGCTTGTGTTCGGGCATTCTTGAGACGAAATTAAAACTAATCTTTGCTCATTGGTTATCTTGCATCTTGACTGATAAGACATCTCTTGTAATGAAAGTTTAACTTTTAGACATCACATTTCTTTGTAGAGAATTATATCGTAGAAACAAGCTTATTTCATTTATGATTTTCTTTTATGTTACTTTTCCGAATCAACTTTCCCGGTTGTTTTATTTTCTCGTTGTGACACTGTCGAGAAAACAGTTAACTTACACTTTTTGAAATTTTGATATCGTTGTTGAGGGTTAGCAACTCAAATTGGCGAAAAAGTGAAAAAAAAAAAAAAAAAATTATGTTTTTCCCGTCCTACTGTCATTAAGCAAAACCTCTTATATCTGTGAACGACAATTTTCCGTTTGTAAATAACGTGCTCTCCTCACTTTGATTTTTGGAACAGATTGACAGTTGAAAAGATCTTCTACCCAATGTAAACCACTTGTTTGTTTTTTTCATCGTATTTTAGGTTAAATATAAGAAATATTTTCAGTTCTTTAAACAAGCAAGCATTGTATTCTTGTTTTTAATTTTAAACACATTTTAAAATGCCTGCCTTGTATCTTTCACCATAGAATCATCATCATCATCATCGTCCCCTTGACTTTTGTAATCGTAGTGGTGGGGGATCCGAATGCAGAAGTCATATTGAATTTCCTCCATAACGGTCCATCAACGGCGGCCATCAGCAATTCGGATATAGTCATACTTGTCCATTGTTTGGCATTGTCCAACCAGTTTTTTTCGTTGGCCTCATTTCTTACGTCCACCTTCATCCGTGCCTTGCATCACGGTCTAGCACAGGCTGTCGTGCCTTGTAACATGTTCAAACCACGCCATTTTTCTCCGTTTGACAGTGTTGAGAAGCGTTTTCTGGTGGCTCACGAAATTTTCAAGCATTTTCTGCACAAACTCATAGGTTTTATGTTCCTAATAGAAGATGCCAAGGCGTTTTCTCATGCATTTATTTTCAAACGCTTGGAATCCTTCTCTCTGTTTCTGCCAACAGTGTCCACGTTTCACATCCATACTACCAGCGGTTTGTACAGCCTGTACTTCGTTTGAAAACTGATTTTGCTCCTCCGTACCCTTACCAATTTGACCATCGCTGTCATGGCTGCGGCAATCCGAATTTCCGAGCTGCAGGTACCATCTTTAGACAAGATTGCTCACAAGTATTTAAAAAATGGACACTTCCTACAGTGAATTCCCTTTTGTGGTAATATTGACACAGGTGTTATTTATTATTTACATTATTCGGACTATTGTCCTCATCTTTGTCGCCTCATCTCAGAAATATAGACAGACACAGGTGTTATTGTTTGTGCTATCCACCATTACTATGGATTTCTCGGATAATAAGTTGTTTTAATTTTTTAAATGCACGCACGCGTTGTCGTCGCAGAAATTGAAATGGGTGAGTTGCGATCAAGTTCCAGCCTAGTTTGCGACATTCACAAGTGCTCTTGGGAAAGGCATGAATCCATTTTTCTCTCTTTACCTGTGGGTTAAATAGCTGAGTAGACTGTTTCATTGTGTGGGTCTGAAACGAAGTATCAATGTGTTTTTTAGCACAAGGTGCAACACATTTACACGGGAACCAAACAGGAAGAATTCAATAAAAACAATGTTTTCAACTCAGCATAGTTGCAGCAGAAACCATAAATGAGGTCTGAGACTGCTGAACTAACACAAAAGTGCTTGGGCAGGTGTCTACAACTCGGATTGCAGACGGGATTCTTTGGCAACGGGTAGCCAGCCATTATATATGTATGTATGCGTGTATAATTGAAAAGCGGATTAAACTTAAGATGATTTCTTTTAATCCTACAAAATATAGGGATTATTTCCTCTGATCTTAGCTGTGTCACATTTGCTTTCATTTCGCTCTTCTTTTTTGTTTTTTGTTTTTTTGTTTTGTTTTGTTTTTTTTAAAATTTTGACCGCAGCTCTAACGATATGATTCTTCGTCGGAAAACCTCGACAAGTTTTACACACTACTTCTTCAGATTAGTGACTTGACATTTACTGGAATTAGTCTCTTGATCCTTACGGCAGATGAAGATCTGTGCAAAATTGGTGCCCAGAACTAAACTAAAGACATTTATTTGTGCAGCTTGGTTTAGTTTTACAAAGAGGTTTGATTTTGATATTCATACACAACTGGGATGGGTAACTTGATAAAATAAAAACAAATTGTTTTTCTTATTGGCGGTTCAAAAAATGTGTTAAGTCTTTTAATAGTATATTATTAATATATAGTATATACAAATATATTAAAATTAGGATAAAGAAGAGCAAGGAGAAGAAATTATTTACCGTAAAGTAGAAAAATGCATGGTTACCAGTAAAAGGATGAGCCCCAAATGTGATTTGAAGGTCAGGAACACTAGAATCAAGCAGACGCAGATGTTTAAATATCTGGGAAGCGTTTTGACAGAGAATGGTAAGTGCGACACTGAGATCCGTAGACGTATTGGAATGGCCTAGGATGCAAAAGCTGGGCAGAGTATTGCGTGACAGGAGGATTTCTTCGGTAACGAAGAAAAGAGTACTGAGCTGTTACGTGATATCTGTCCTTCTTTACGGCAGCGAATGTTGGAAGAGGCAGCTGAAGTTTCTGAGACACATAATGAGGAAGGAGGGCCTGGAGAATCTGATATTCACGGGTAGAATTCTCGTTTTTGGCAAGAGATATGTAATAGCTTCAGTGATCCATTCCATCATTGGAATTATTAATAAGAATTGGTAAAGATTGTGCCAGGGTCTTATGGAATGATGAGGGATAATAGAGCCAAAAATTGGTTACCTTTTTTCTTTCCTGGAGAATTCCATTTGGGGGATTTCGTTAGAGCTTGCCTGACACTATTTTGGTTTATATTTTCCCATTCTTGTAGACATTGGATTCATTCTGTCTTTGGGTTATATTCCTTTGAGCTGCTTCAAATATCCTACCAAAATTTCTGCACTTTTTCAATAGATGATGGCTTTTTGACATCTATAACTGCTTTTCAAATTTTCCTGTAAACTCTCTTAATGTTCGTTTGGAATATCTTATTTTGGCGATAGAACTTACAATGCTTTTCGTATCCTTTTGTTCCCTGTGCTTATTATTTTTATTATTATATTTAAACAAACTGATTGACGTAACTCTTCCAGTATTTTTCAACACTTAAGTGAAAAGCGCCACTTTTCGACCCTTAAAAAGACATGCAGATAGTTACATATTTAATGACTAACTTAACGCCCCGCGGGCATGAACAGAATGACAGGAGGATTCCATAAGATTTATACTAAGCGGTTTGATTAATTCCTCTTAGTAAATAATCAACTAACAGAAAATTCCAAGATGAACAAGGGTCACCATCATATTAAGAACGTTTCACTTGCATGCCTTCACGTTGGTGGCATTTCATTCGTTTTTGACGCATTGATTACCATTACAGCCGTTTCTTTATTACAAGACAAGCAACGTTTATATAAAGACTTATACTTTATATATATATATATATATATATATATATATATATATATATATATATATACTTGATTTTTTTTTCAAATATAACTGAAAGACACACAAAAGTACAAGTTGTTTGACATTGTCAAATAGTGTGATTTTCTTTTCTTTTTCTTTTCTTAAATCGCGCTCCTCTCTTAAGTATTATTATTAGTTTTTTTTTAATTATTATTATTATTATTATTTTATCGATTACGGTGAGTAATTTTTCATTGCTCTGCCCCCCCCCCACCTACTTGTTTTAATAAATTTGTATATATTATATGTTAATATATTCGTTTTTTAGAATATCTTTCTTTCATCAACTGTGATATTTTTCAACATCTCTTTGTAGGCTGTTCACGGATCACCCGGATTATATTGATTATTTCCCAAGTTTCCGCGGGAAAAAGTTAGAAGAATTCAATACGAAAGCTACTTTCAAGGTGCACGCGAGAAACGTGTTCTATGCAATCAATATGATTGTGGAAACCCTTGACGATGCCGATGAGCTGGTTGAATTGTTGCTCAAAACCGGAAGGGATCATTATAGACGAGGCATTCCCATATCCGCATTTCATGTAAGTTCTTCGAAAAGAGTTCTGGTTCCATGTACATATTCTCATTCATTTTCTAAGCTCCCATATCGAAGTCAAGAAACCGGTTTAGAATCGAACTCACTAGCCCAACAAATTGCTTTACACGATCAGTTTGCTAATTTCGTGCTGTGATAGAACCCCCACACCCCCAATCATACACACACAATTCTGAAGACTTCTCATAAAATTCCATCCACAATATTTTATAATAATGTAATGTTGTATTAATAACGTCTGAAAAAATATACCAGACTAATTTTTTCATACGTAAAATAATTGTTTATTTACATCTGGAATCCATCAAATTAATGTCGGCAGAATCAAGGTTATGTTGGTTTCGGGTTTTTCTTCAAGCGTTTGATTTTCTTACGTGGCTAAAAGAGATTCTGATCCTCTCCAAGCCGATCGGGCATTTATATAACGTCCTAGGTGTACATATCCTAAGTTCATCTGCGTTCAATTCTTTGTTAATGTTAATGCACCCACCGACATTCTTTGAGGCCAGATTCCGCATTGGTGGCTTTATAACACCTTCTTGGTTAAACCTCGGAGTTTGCAGATCTTTTGACATTCTGATGTGACACCGAGTACAAATCTTACTTTGGTATCTCTTAGGACGAACACAGTACACAATTGACATGAAATTCGATTCATACTTCAGGTATTTCTTGGTGTGAATCACATACTATAGTTTGAAATTTATAAAAAATTTGGACACAAGAATTTTCCTGAATAGTTAAGAGAGTAAAAGTACCTTTTATGTACTTAGTAACTATTTTGAATTATTTATTTACTTTTTACTAATGTTTACCCAATAGAAGGCCCAAGATTCACTCAAGGTAGAGGGTTAATAGAGTGTTGCGTTGTAATAAGTAAGGGCAAGAAGTCAAGTTCTTGGGGCTATGCGGGAAAGATAACAGCTAAGTCTAGACTTGAAAAAGTCAAGATTTAATTAGGCAATAACATTTCATAGTTAAGTCGGAGACGTTAAAAGTATAGTGTGGAAGTAGACTTTAGAAGGACCCGGAAACCCAGTTGTAAAGAGGAAACAAGGGATAAACCCCTACTCTTGTTCAAAAAGACCAGAGAGGCGTGTGAAGCGGACAATAGGGGAACCTATATTTATTTACTATTTTCAAGTATTTAATCTGTTGCGTTCACTTACGCATAAATTCCCTTCCGAAAAGCAGGGAACCATCTCTTTTTCCTCATCGCCACCAATTGTGGATTAGATAGCAAGGTAGAAACCATTGTGTGAGAAGGAAAATCTAGAATATAAAACCGTAGAAAAGACAACAGGAAACCATTCCACTATCTTTCCAAAAAAGTTATGTCTGTTCACAGACGATAATAAAGAAAAGGAATCTGTGCAGAGTCATGAACGCCTACGTTCTGAAGGCTCATGGCATTAAAAATATTTCGAGAATTCCTGGGAACTTGACTATTACTGAACGACACAAAATTTCGTAAAAACAGAAGACTGTAGAAATTCGAGGCATATACTTTATAATTTATATAAAATAAACCGAAATTTTTGTGTTTGCTTATCCATTTTTCTTGATTGTATTCAAAATAATCTTGAAAATACAATAAATTCTTGTTTAATATTATACTTAAATGACATCGAAAATTCTTCAGTTGAGGTCTGTGCGCATAATGTAACGATTACCCGCGCGGAAAGTGGAGTCGAAGTGCCGAGTTCAAATTGCGTTCACTTTCGCACAAATGGCCTTGGGAAATGTATGAATCTATCTCTTACCGCCAAACAGAAGTATAGACTGGACTCTCTCCTAAACTGGTTGCCAACCATGGCCAGAAAGACAAATCAGAATCCAAAACGAGTTTGGTTTGGAGCTGACAAAACCACCCCGTAAAAAAAAATAGTACTTGCTTTGAAATACCGTAACTGCAACAACTTGTGTGATAAGCCTACGGCTCTATTCTCCACAGGAAAGTCTGAGGGCACTAAGTAGAATGATGAGAGTTCTTTGATTTGATTTCAAACATCAATTAGGTTTCTATGCCTTCGGTTTAACGAATCGGTTCTATCTGTGATTTAAAACTGAATCGAAAAATATTAACCGAATGTTAACCTGTCACTTAAAAGTAATGTGTTTATGAGGGAAAACACTTAATTTTTTATAGTTTTTCATTAGTTTGACACAACTTTATATTCCAATGTAAAACCCATTGATATTAAAAGAACAAAAAAAAACAAATATCTTTGCTTACAGTAGCAGGGATTCTAAGAAAATAATATATTTCCATCCGAGTATTTTCCTTGAGTCATTCACAAATATGGCGGCAAGCATACGGTTACGTTTAGATTATGTTATTTTCAATGAAAATGAAAGTAAAGTGCTATCCTCTATAAATTGTTGAAGTGTAACATATAAACAAGAAAAGTATATGCGACATTTGCGGTGGGAGGATTGTATTGCGGTGATCTTTTAAGCAAAGGACGGCTTGCCAGCCTTAACATTCTACATCCTGGTTTTTATCCGTTCTCAAAAACTGACCACTGGCTTCTTCTTCTTCTTCTTCTTCTTCTTCTTCTTCTTCTTCTTCTTCTTCTTCTACGTACTGTATCCTATCGGAACGGTCACAGTGATTACGGCTCTCCTTCTTTTCTTTGTAGCTCTTAATAACGTTTGTCTTTTTAGGATCCTTCCCCTCTCCCGTTCCACCATCCATTCGCACAATCTCGTCAGATAGGTAACCCGCCGCCACACCCTGTTACTTTGGCCTTCGATATCTCCTGTAAGTGTCAAATTCTGCAAGCCTTCCTTCTCACTATGTGTCCAAGAAATTTCAACTGTCTCCATCAGATTATAAGTGTCGATTTTTTTCTCATTTCCCTTAAGACTGGTTGCTTACGCGCTTCGTCATTGGTATTCTCAGCATCTTTCTGTAGCACCATATTTCTGTTCCTTCCAGTCTTCCTTTTCTGTGTGAGGAAATTACCCAGCATTCACTGCTGTATAGGGGGATTGATATTATATAGCAGTTCAGCACCGTTTTATTTGTGTCTAACGCACTTTCTCTGTTTCTTAATACTTCACTTAGCTTTTAAAAGGCAACTTTTGCTATTCCAATGCGCGTTCGGATTTTGGTATCACATTTTCCATCTTCTTGTCAGACATTAAACTTCTGTACGAAACACTTGCCAGACATTTAATGTCTGGCAAGTGTTAAAACACTTGCTAGATATTTAAAATTCTGTACCTGTTTTCACCGAAGCAAAATACATAACCTACTATTCTTGCCATCGGTTTGGGCACCTCGACTTGGTGTAATGGTTAGAAAACTTGTCTTGCTAGATCAATTACGATTGAGTAGTGAGTTTGATCCTCACTGGGTGCCACGTACTTTCAGCCTTGTGCCACATCTAAACCGCGCTTAGAAAATCACTATTCTTGCCATCGGTTGCGTTTTGCTTTTAGTCGTGACTAGCTTTTAAAATGTCTGTTTTAATGATAGCTTCTTTTGTTATTTGTTTATCTATTTATAAATATGTTTGTTTGGTTTCAGAACCTGGCCATTGTCTTCGACAAATACATGGCAGAAAGAGCGGGAAAAGCCTATACACCTTTGGCTAAGGCTTCGTGGATGAAGGCATTGACTGTAGTTAATGCCGTCATAGAAAAAGGAATGGAAGAGATGAAGCAAAGCGACAAACAAGAAACAGAAGGCCAAAAACAACAACAAGCCGCTCAAAAATAAAAGTTCCCTAACTGCAGCTGACCCTCCTTCACTTCATCTTCTTTTTAACTCCTACATCCTCCTCCTCATTTACCCCCTCACTTTCTTATGTTATTCTATCAATAAATCCACCTTGTTTCTTTGTATCTCTCTCTCTCTCTTTCTCTTTATCTCTCTCTTATTCATATGACTGCCTTCTCTTCAAATATATACCTCCCCCACCTCTATCTATCGTACTTAAAAATGCTCTCTTACTAATTGCAGAGCGTCTCAACAAATCGCCTCAACCCATGCAAATATCTTGTGTCAAACGTTAGAAAAACCTGAATGTAATGTCAGACATTTTAATAATCAGAAAACTCGAAAATCTCATGTTAAAACTTCAATGACCGCCTCAGAAATTTACACGGTTTATAGATAGATAAGAAACAATTGCAATGGTCAGATTTTCGCGTTATATGTCTCTGTTAAGGTGAAATATTGTGGATCAATAGTTATTATTAAACAAACAAATAAAGCTCTAATTCTTTTTTTAACGTTGCACCTGTTCTCGTTTTGATTAGATTTCTTTAACGTTGAGGCAACTAGCTGATAGTGTTAGTCATTCAGCTTGACAGGGCTGAATACTTTAAAGCCTGTTTCTAAATACGAGATATATTAACAAATCGAAAACGACTAAAGATAATGAAACTCGTAAAATTAAGTAAACAATTATAACACCGGTTGGCACTCATCACAAACTACAAATATTAGTTCTCTCAGTTTGTTTATGAAAAAGGTTAATTAAATTTACGATGGAAACAACTTGAAGGCCTCACTCAGGTATCTTTTAACAAACCTGCAAATGTTCATAAAAATTAATTGTAGTCAAATATATTACTTATATAATGTTTACAAATTATATGGCTCACTCTATATTTTTAATACAAGTATGGATATTTTTTTGTTTTGGTTTTAAAAAATTCGATAGTCAAAATTCGTAAAAAAAAAAATGGTTATGGGATTCTGAATTAAAAAAAAAAGACGATTTTTTATTTTTTTGTTTTGTTTTTAT